GCGTGGTAGATGTCGGTTATCATGGGATATGGTTTGTAGGCCACTGGAATCTGGGGGTCTTGGAATTAAAAGACTCTCCACTTGGAATCGGGATTTACTTGCCAAACATGTGTGGGATATTGTTAGGCGACGGGATTCTATGTGGGTTCGTTGGATTTATAGTAATAATCTCCGYTCTTCGAATTTTTGGATGGTTCGTAAGAATTCTAATTGGTCTTGGGTTTTTCGTAAACTACTAGACTTGCGGAGTCATTTGCGTCGGTTTCGTTTCTCTCAAATTGGTGATGGTCGGAACACGAATGCTTGGGAGGATGCTTGGTTATCTTGTGGTCCTCTATCCGCGTTTATCTCTTACCGGTTTGTCCATTCTTGTGGGTTCTCTACCTTAACGACGGTTCGTGATCTTATTATAAGCTGGAATGGTAATTGGCCTGATGATTGGCCTCCTTAGATGGTAATTATCCTGTGATCCCTTGGTCTAAATTGGTTTGGTTCTTGGGTCATATTCCGAAGCATGCTTTCTGTTTTTGGTTGGCTTGTCAGAGAAGGCTTCCGACTCAAGACCGCTTACACTGGAAGGATGAGCCCCCAGATATGGAGTGTTCACTGTGTGGTCAATGTTTGGATAGTCATGATCATTTATTCTTTCAATGTTCGTATGCTGGAGCTATATGGACTAGTGTTTTACTCATGGTGGATATGACGGGTATGCCTTCAAGGTGGGAACAGATTGTTCAAGTTATTTCGGATCCTAATACTCGTCCGAATCTGTTAAAGCAGAAACTTGCTGTGGCGGCTACTGTTTACTATATTTGGCTAGAACGTAATAGAAGACTTTTTTCTGCGACTAAGCGTACGGCTCAGGATCTTACTGCTGTTATTAGGGAATCTATCTCCATTCGAGCAGATTGGTTGGCGTGTCGTCCTGTGGTTACTTATGGTTGACTTGAAGGCTTGTTTTTGGTTCTGGGAGGCGATGGTTTGGGTTACGCTTCTCTTTTTTATCTTCTTTGGTTGTTTGTTTGWGTCTTATGGGCTTTGTTTATTTTGGCTTGTTGTGGCTCGGTTGGGGTGTTTCCTTTGGCCTTGGGACTTTTATTGTAGGTTGCGGTCTTTCTGTTTGGTTGCTTTGTAAAACTATTTATTGCGTTTTATAAATTTGCCGAAGTTTTCCTTCAAAAAAAAAACTTTCTCTATTTGTGTTAATCGACAGTCGGAGGGTTTCTTTCATGGCAAGCGAGGACTTCGACAAGGGGATCCATTATCTTCGTACTTGTTCACGGTGGTTATGGAAGGATTGTCGATGATTTTAAAAAAATGTATTGATGAAGAGGTGAATTTTACGTACCATCAAGGATGTGATGGTATCAAGCTGACCCATTTATGTTTGCGGATGATCTTTTTATTTTTTCTCGGGGGGATGCTACTTCAGTTGAGGTGATAAAACGAGCTCTCCAAATGTTTGAGTAACGTTCGGGTTTGTCACCGAGTTTTGAAAAAAGTGAAGTGTTTTTCGGGAATGTCGGGTTGGATGTTCAAAATATCATTCGCAAATGCCTTCCTTTTCGTCCGGGGGTATTTCCTATTCGCTACCTTGGAGTTCCTCTCTCTCCAGTTAGATTAAAGGTACGTGACTTCAACCCTCTTGTGATTAAACTTAAATCTCGCTTGTTGAATTGGAAAAACAAATTTCTTTCTTATGGGGGTAGACGTCAGCTCATCATCCCTGTTCTTCACTCTATGCAAACTTTTTGGATGTCGGTATTTCTAGTACCGGCAGCCACAATCCATGAAATTGAACAATTGTTCTGTAATTTTTAATGGAATAAAGAGGAGGGTGAGATGGGAAAATGTCGAGTATATTGGGATAGGGTTTGTTTACCTATAAAAAATGGAGGACTGGGTATGAAAAGACTTGCTCTTTGGAATCGGTGTTTGCTTTTTAAACATATTTGGGATATTCTTACTGGAAGAAATACCATGTGGGTCTCTTGGATTCATTCTCATTGTATTCGGGGAAGAAATTTTTGGATCATAAAGAAGAGGAATGAATGGTCGTGGCTTGTCCGGAACCTTTTAAAGTTAAGACCACATTGCAGACGATTTTTCATTTCAAATGTGGGTAATGGTAGAAGAAGAGCCCACTTGAATATTGAATTCAGGCTTTCATTAGCTCCTTCAGGATGGGATCACACTTTCAGCTCGCTGGGTCCTATTCATTAAAAGACCATTTCATCTATTAACTCCCTTTCTCAAACCTGCCCCTTGCTTCTGGTTTTCATGATTCTATTTGTTTCCAAGTAATGCATATCCCTATGGTCTCCCCTAATATTCCTAAAGGAAAATGGATCAAATGGGCTCCTCCTCCTTTTGGTATATCTACGCACGCTTGGGAAGACACGTGGAGTGATTTTGGTCCCCTTATTCACTTGCTGTCCTACAGATTCATAAATGGTCATGACTTTCATAATAACTCTATGGTATATGATCTAATGCAAAGGTTTGACAATGATTGGCCGGTTGAATGGATTCAACAATATCCCCAACTACAAAATATTATGATACCTTCTCCCAGTCAGCAAGAGGATACGGTCAGATGGCTTGACACTAATCATTATCGGAAACCTTTTGAGGTGAAAGTGGCGTGGCAAACTTTACAAGAGGTAGGTCCGATTGTGCATTGGTACAAGGTGGTATGGAATAAAGCATACATTCCTAAACATGCTCTTTGCTTGTGGATGGCGTGTCAGAGAAGATTACCAACCCAGGATCGCATTAGCCAGTGGAAGCATGAACCTCTTGATCTGAAATGTGTTTTTTGTAAATTAGTGATAGAAACACACAATCACTTATTTTTTGAATGCAACTACTCGAGTAGTATTTAGGAGGTAATTAAAAAGGAAGTAGGGATAAAGAATTGTCCGAACAAATGGGAGGATATCCTTAATATGAGATTATCACAAAGGTGGAAATTATGGTCTACGGTTCAAAAACTTGGTATATCAGCTACGGTATACCATATATGGAGGGAAAGGAACAGAAAGTTCTTTGACAATTATAACCATGCTGGGGAAGCCTTCCTTTTATAGTGAAGGAAAAGGCACCCTTATGCAAGCATGACATAAGCATGACAAAAGCTAATAATAATTCAAACTAGAAAACAAACTAAATGAGGTAAGCGCTTACATCACTACTAGGTGACTACAAGCTTACATCATGGAGAAAAAGTTGTGGCTGAGATCAAGATACAGCTCTTCAAAGAATGGCGTGGAAGACAAGGAAGAAACTCACGAGAATCAATGATGCATGATCATGTGGATGATGAAGGTTTTCGATTCTGGAAGTTTTTGGTGATTTGCACCATTTATTTTTTGCCTTGCTGATTGTTTTTGTATTGGTGACGTTTTTTATTGTCTTTATAAATTTGCCTGGGGAAACTTCCCCTTTCAGTATTTTTTGCCCTGCTTTATATTTACTTTTTGGTGCATTTCCCTTTGTTTTTTTTTTGGCTTCTTATGGCTTGGTTTCTGAGTCAAAGTTGCCGTTGCTTTTCTTGCTGATTTCCTCTTTGTAAAGTTTCGCTTTTTTTCGTTTTTATATATTTGCCTGGGGATATTCCCCTTCAGTAGACCGTATAGGGTTTAATTAGCACATTTTTCTCACAAGGAGTCTAACTGGGTCAAGATGACACTAAATCGGTCAAATTTAGTGTACTGAAAGGGGAATATCCCCAGGCAATTTTATAAAGACTAGTAAAAGAGAAACTTGTCAAAAGAGGAAATCAGCAAGAGACGCTATGGCAACTTTGGCTTACAAACCAAGCCATAAGAAGCCAAAAAAGACAAACAAAAATGCACCAATAAATAATAATAAAGCAAGACAAAAAATGTATGGAGCAAAACCCCGCCATCTTCCAAAAACGAGACCCTTTAGCAAACACCTTTTCACGCGTCATTGAGAGGTATGAGATTTTGCCTTGTCTTCCACGCCATTCTTTGAAGAATCTGATTCTTGATCTCAGCCACAACTTTCTCGCCAGCTTGATTATACTTGTCAAAAAAAAATTTGTTCCTTTCCCGCCATATGTGGTATACCGTAGCAGATATACCAATTTTTTGAACCGTAGACCATGATTTCCACCTTTGTTATCCCATTTGTTCGGACAATTTGTTATCCCAACTTCCTTCTGAATGACCTCCCATATACTATTCGAGTTGTTGCATTCAAAAAATAAGACATTAATGTGACTAATTGAGTTAGAATGGGTTTTAAGCCTCCTTAACGGGTCTATTTGGACCTTAATGGGTATAACACGGTTCTGTTACTTTTATTTGAGTCAATTTGATCAAAATGACACTAAATGGGTCATAACTAATTTGATTAAACCCTAATGGGCTTATAGGCCCATTTCTGCATAAAGAGTCTAATTGACACAAAATGACACTAATTTGGTCATATTTAGTTTGATCAGGCCTTAATGGGTATAATGAGATTATTTCTCCTACTTGAGTCTAATTGAGTTATAATGGTATTAAATGGGTCATAATTAGTCTAAGCAGAGGTAAATGGGATTTATTGAGGTATAATGAGTCCATTTTGTGTTAGTGGATATAATGTGCCCATTTCTCCTTAATAAGTCCATTTGGGTCGAAACGACACTTACTAGGTCATCATAAGTCTCATTAGCTCCTAAGCGGTTTAATTGGCCTATTTTTCTTCATAAGGAGCCTAATTGGGTCAAGATGACACTAAATGGGTCATAGTTAGTCTACTGAAAGGGGAAGAGTTTCCCCAGGCAATTTTATAAAGACAGTAAAAAGCGTCACCAATACAAAAACAATCAGCAAGAAAAACTACGGCAACTTTGACTCACAAACCAAGTCATAAGGAGCCAAAAATGACAAAGGGAAATACACCAAAACATAACACCATACGCCAAAAAGCAAAAGGCAAGAAAAACCCATAAGATCAAAAACCGAGAAGGCACACCACCCACGTAGTCACACACCATTGGAATTCATTAGCTTCTTCCTTGTCTTCCAAGCCATCCGATGAAGAATCTGCATTTTGATTTCAGCAATAACTTTATCCCCCGAATGATTGAAATTGTCAAAGAACTTCCTGTTCCGTTCCCTCCAGATATTATAGACCGTTGCCGATATACCAAGTTTTTGAACCGTAGACCAAGATTTCCAAGTTTGAGTGGACCCTCTGTGAAGAATATCCTCCCAATTGTTTGGACAGTTCATTAATCCCACCTCCATTTTAATAGCTTCCCAAATACTGCTTGAGTACTTGCATTCAAAAAATAGGTGATTGTGCGTTTCAATCACTAAGTTACAAAACACACACTTTAAATCCGGCGGTTCATTCTTCCATTGACTTATACGATCTTGAGTTGGCAGTTCCTTCTGACACGCCATCCACATGCAAAGAGCATGTTTAGGAACGTATGCTTTATTCCAAACGAATTTATACCAATGCACAACCGGCTTCACCTCTTGGATAGTATTCCAAGCCAATTTTACCTCAAAGTCACCCCGTGAAAGTTTATTATCAAGCCATCTGACTTTATCCTCCACTTGACTGGGAAACGGAATCAGAACACTCTGCAGCTGAGGATATTGTTGAATCCAATCCACCGGCCAATTAGTACCAAATCGTTGCATTACATCAGATACCGTGGAGTTATTGTGAAATCCCTGGCCATTAATGAATCTATAAGACAGGGATTGAATGAGAGGRCCCGACTCGCTCCAWKTATCTTCCCAAGCATGCGTAGATARACCATTTCCCACATTRTAGATAAAGAATCTYCGRCAATGARATCTTAAGYCTAAAAGGCTYCGGAGWATCYACGACCACTCATTCCTCTTCTTGATAACCCAGAAATTACGTCCCCGAACACAGTGAGACTGAATCCAAGAGACCCACATAGTATTTCTGCCCTTTAGAATATCCTAGATATGTTTAAATAGAAGTCACCTATTCCAAGTCGCAAGTTTTTTCAAACCAAGACCCCCACTTTGAATAGGCAAGCAAACTGTATCCCAAGCAACTCGACATTTACCCAACTGACCCACTGCTTTATTCCATAAAAAATTACGAAAAAGCTGCTCAATTTCATGGATTGTGGTTGCCGGTACAAGAAATACCGACATCCAATATGTTTGCATTGAGTGAAGCACTGAGATAATTAGTTGTCGACGCCCTCCATATGAGAGGAATTTATTCTTCCAGTTTAAAAGTCGAGATTTAAGCTTTAACATAAGGGGATTAAAATCACGTACCTTCAGCCGAACCGGAGAAAGAGGAACTCCCAAGTAAGGAATCGGGAAAACCCCTGGCCGAAAAGATAAACTATCACGTATAAGAGTTTGAACCTCCATTGCTACATTCCCGAAAAACACCTCACTTTTTTCCAGACTTGGCGACAATCCCGAACGTTCTTCAAACAAAAGAAGGCCATGTTTGATGACTTCCACAGAAAGAATGTCCCCCTTAGAGAAAATAAATAAATCATCAGCAAAGCAAAGATGAGTCAACTTAATATCCGCACAACCTTGATGATACGAAAAATTTACCTCCTCCTCAATACACTTCGATAGAAGCATCGAGAGACCCTCCATAACAACAGTAAACATATAAGGGGAGAGAGGATGTCTTTGACGAAGGCCTCGTTTACCATGAAAAACCCTCCGGCTGTCCATTAACACAAACAGAATAAGAGGGTGAAGTGATCAAGGTAGATCCATTTAATCATGACAGGATGAAAACCCATTCCCTTCAGCATTTCTAAAAGAAATTGCCAATCAACTGTGTCATAAGCCTTACGAATATCAATCTTAAAAGYACATTTTGGTTCCCCTTCAGAACGCTGATATCCAGCGACCAGTTCATGGGCCATTAAGATATTATCAGTGATTTGGCGCCCAGGAATGAACGCAGATTGAGCCTTGCTAACAAGAATGTCCAGCTAACAAGAATGTCCAGCGATCCTTTCATCCGGTCAGCAATAACCTTACTAATACACTTCAACAACACATTACGACATGCAATTGGCCGATAATCAGTAACACAAKAAGCATTAGGAACCTTTGGCACAAGACAAAGAAGAGTATGGTTCAGCTGATACTCCAATGTTCCAGAATAGAAAAAATTATGTATCCCAGTGAGAACATCCCTACCAACCACATTCCAAGCTGCTTTAAAGAATTTAGAAGAATATCCATTAGGGCCTGGCGCCTTATCATTCCCAATGGCAAACAAAGCATCCTTTATTTCCATAACCGAAATAGGACGGATTAAGTGAAGAGAATCCGATAACGATAAAGAATGACCAAACACACAATCCCCCATAGAAGGCGGAACCAAGACATTAGAGGTACCTAGAATACCTTTAAAATGGTTGAGGAACGCTATGGATACCTCCTGATGATCATAAACTATACCAGAAGAATCCCTTATAGTAGCAATATGGCTCTGATTGCGCTTTTCTTTCATAGACTGAAAAAAGAATTTAGAGTTTCCATCCCCTTCATTAAGCCAAGATATCTTCGCTTTTTGACGGGCCATTTCCACTTGATCATTCCTAGCTTGTTGATACGCTAACAAGAGGTGAGCAATGTCCTCCTTCAGCAAGTCATTAAACGGGTCTAGGTCACAAGCCAATTGGGCGACATCAAGCTCCGTCTTAAACTGAACTACCCTTTTATCCAAACAACCATACGAATTTCGGAGACGTCGACAAACCACCTTCAGAGCATGCAATTTCCGCAGCACCCTCTTCATATAAGATCCTTTCTGCTGATTCGTCCACACCTCCTCCACAGAAGTAAGGAAATCCTTATGAGATGTCACAAAATTATCAAACTTAAAACCACGCTGGTGAAGACGTCTACCAACTNCGCAAGTCTTTTCATACCAAGACCCCCACTTTGAATAGGCAAGCAAACTGTATCCCAAGCAACTCGACATTTACCCATCTGACCCTCTGCTTTATTCCATAAAAAATTACGAAAAAGCTGCTCAATTTCATGGATTGTGGTTGCCGGTACTAAGAAGACCGACATGCAATATGTTTGCATTGAGTGAAGCACTGAGATAATTAGTTGTCGACGCCCTCCATAGGAGAGGAATTTATTCTTCCAGTTTAAAAGTCGAGATTTAAGCTTTAACACAAGGGGATTAAAATCACGTACCTTCAGACGAACCGGAGAGAGAGGAACACCCAAGTAACGTATAGGGAAAACCCCTGGCCGAAAAGATAAACTATCACGTATAAGAGTTTGGACCTCCATCGCTACATTCCCGAAAAACACCTCACTTTTTTCCAGAAATAATGTCCCCCTTTGAGAAAATAAACAAATCATCAGCAAAGCATAGATGAGTCAACTTAATATCCGCACAACCTTGATGATATGAAAAATTTGCCTCCTCCTCAATACACTTCGATAGAAGCATCGAGAGACCCTCCATAACAACAGTAAACAGATAAGGGGAGAGAGGATCTCCTTGACGAAGGCCCCGTTTACCATGAAAAAAACCCTCCGGCTGTCCATTAACACAAATAGAATAAGAAGGTGAAGTGATTAGGGTCTTGATCCAGTTAATCATGACTGGATGAAAACCTATTCCCTTCAGCATCTCTAAAAGAAACTGCCAATCTACTGTATCATAAGCCTTTCGAATATCTATCGTAAAAGCACATTTTGGTTCCCCTTCAGAACGCTGATATCCAGCGACCAGTTCATGCGCCATTAAGATATTATCAGTGATTTGGCGCCCAGGAATGAACGCAGATTGAGCCTTGCTAACAAGAACATCCAGCGATCCTTTCATCCGGTCAGCAATAACCTTACTAATACACTTCAACAAAACATTACAACAAGCAATTGGCCGATAATCAGTAACACAAGAAGCATTAGGAACCTTTGGCACAAGACATAGAAGAGTATGGTTCAGTTGGTACTCCAAAGTTCCAGAATAGAAAAAATTATGTATCCCAATGAGAACATCCCTACCAACCACATTCCAAGCTGCTTTAAAGAATTTAGAAGAATACCCATCAGGGCTTGGGGCCTTTTCATTCCCAATAGCAAACAAAGCATCCTTTATTTCCATATCCGAAATAGGACGGATTAAGTGTAGAGAATCCGATAACGATAAGGAATGATCAAATACACAATCCCCCATAGAGGGAGGAACCAATACATTAGAGGTACCTAGAATACCTTTAAAATGGGTAATGAACGCTGTAGAAACCTCCTGGTGATCATGAACAGTACCAGAAGAATCCCTTATAGTAGCAATATGGCTCCGATTACGCTTTTCTTTCATAGCATGAAAAAAGAATTTAGAGTTACCATCCCCTTCATTGAGCCAAGAAATCTTCGCTTTTTGACGAGCCATTTCCACTTGATCATTTCCAGCTTTTTGATATGCTAACAAGAGGTGAGCAATGTCCTCCTTCAGCAAGTCATTAAACGGGTCTAAATCACAAGCCAATTGTGCAACATCAAGCTCCGTCTTTAACTGAACTACCCTTTTACCCAAACAACCGTACGAATTTCGGAGAGGCCGACAAACCACTTTCAGAGCTTGTAATTTCCGAAGCACCCTCTTCATAAAAGATCCTCTCTGAGGTTTCGTCCACACCTCCTCCATAGAGGCATGGAAATCCTTATGAGATGTCACAAAATTATCAAACTTAAAGCCACGCTGGCGAAGACGGCTACCAACTTTAAAAGGAAGAATACCCGGAGAGTGATCAGATATCCCCCTCGGCTCAAAGAAAATCGAAGCATCCCCAAATCTAGTGATAAAAGCAGAATTTCCCAGGATACGATCAAGTTTGCGCATAACACCATCACCCCCCGAAGGTTTCTGTATCCAAGTAAATTGGCATCCTTGGTACGAAATGTCAAACAATTCTGCCTCTTCCAGACAGAGATGAAACTCCTCCATGTCAGAATTTCTCCTAGAGGAACCCCCCAACCCATCATGAGGAAAAAGCATAGAATTAAAATCACCCATCGCGACCCAAGCTTTCCTTTGATTAAACACATGAAATTCACCCAACTCCGGCCAAAGCTCATGCCTATCCATACCCGTATTACACCCATAAACAAAAGTGATATAAATAGGATCAATTTGACCAAAAATCCTAATTTCACAGTAGACATATTGATGGTGTTGCTCAATCATAAGAACAAATAGCACTGTCGGATCCCAAGCAATTATAATACGAGTCCCTTGAGCACACACACTACCATTCGAAATCCAATTCCAATTTCTAAACACTTTACCACACACATCCCCCATATGACAATTTACAATTTTGGACTTAATGATGCAACATAAAGAAAGATGCTTTAAATTAATAAGATCACGTACCTCCTTTTGTTTTATTAGGGCATTAAGACCCCTAATATTCCACGCTGCGATCTTAATCATTGAGAAAGTGAAGTGGATTTTGCCCCTTTACTATAGTCCAAAGAATGCCCTTCAGTGTCAATAATCTCCATATCATCATCATCACTAGAATCATCAGAAGGTAGTGGGGAAAATCTATTACTAGTAGACGTAGAGGACACTGCACCACGTCGTGGTTTCATCGCTTGAATCACCGCTTTTACAAGTGCTGGACCCCCCTTTGAGCGAAAAGTCACATTCGATACATCCTCCCTTCCTCTTGGCGTTCTCCCCGCATCCACCGTACAATATTGACTTTCATCAGTTTCCTTACGTTGCCCATCTGAGAAAGCAGGATCGACCGACTTAACTACCCCTTCATCTTTTCTATTCTCTCCCAATATAGACGGTTCATCAGAAACCGGCTTTATAGTACCAACTCCAACTATCGTCTCGTGAAAATTAGAGGGCTCACCTGAAGAAGTGGGCTGAACACCAGTACTAGTCCCTGAGCTCTGTTTCGGCTTCCATTGTTTGCGCTTTTTCTCTATAAACCCATCAGTATGCAACGGCAATCTCCTTTTGTTTTTGAATACCTCCTTTAAGACAAGAATTTAGATTATGGCCGAAGACTTTACATTTCGAGCATTGAGAAGGCACCCAATCTTATTCCATAACAACTTTGATCACATCTTCACCATCACCAGAAAGCCTCGGAATGACAACTTCAATCTGCTTCTGAATTTCACCCACGTCCCAAACATCCACCAGAACTTTTGCAAAATTAGTACGACCCCATGCTTTATCACAAGTACTAGCAGTACAAGCATCCAAACGCAAAGGGACTCCAACAGCACTAGCGATTTGGCTAATTCCCTCTCTATTAAAAGCAACAAGAGGAATATTATAGAATTTAATCCATAACGGACAGGAGGTATGCTCAGGTTTAGTAAGCCCCTTTGAAGGATCCCATGTGGAGACAAAAAGAGGCCTCCCACGAATCATAAGGGGAGACGACTCAGCTACTTGATTGCAACCACCATTATCATTAAATCGAAAGAAGAAGTATCCAAGGTCATTTACCATTGCATCCGTAAAGCCCAAACTTGCCCTAAGCATTTTGAGCCGCACGCAGGACAATTGGAAATGGAAGACGAGGTCCCAAAAAGTAACCATAAAGAACCGACTGGAATGGTTTAGCCATATCCCTTGTAGTTTCCAAAGTAAATTGAATCCGCGGTTTCACATTCTTCCCAGCCGGGTAGTATTTTAGTTCTTGATTTGAAGTGCTCCCAACAATTTCTGCAAAAGATTTTTGATGGTGTGTAGAACTACCACCCAAAACAGCAGGTGATAGGCGTTCCCAAACCGAAACCCTCTTAGTGGGGCCCACATTTGCACCAATCCCCTTCAACAGCGCCTCCGTTGCACCCCCATGCAAAGGAGTACCATGCAAGTTGCCAATAGCCGATTCTCCAAGAATGTCCTCTGCAA